CCCTTTAATCAAGGAACATACCTTCGTTAATGAATACACTACAATATAGTATAGAATATACCGTCAATCAAGGGAGACACCCTAATAACTTAAACTAATATTCTAAGCCCAGAAGGAAGCAAACCCACAGCCCCAAACCCAAACCTAAAGTCCGTGTATAAACCCCAGAAGTTGCAGGCACTTTCCACCAGATCAACCCTGTGAGCTCTCCGTACAAGCCGTACATGATCCTATGAGCCGTCCGCACCAAAAAAGTCATCCCGAAAAACTGCACACCTATTGTAAGGTCCTGCGGCTCTAAGTTGGAAGATGCAGCTTCGGGACATTGGATTTCGAGTACGCTGTGGCCTCGGTGCTCGCGGCACGCCCTCTGGTCCAAAGATGCGTCGAAGATGTTCCTGGCGTGGAGCTTGTTGTAGGGCCGTTACAGTAGATGAGTATGTAGAAGGCTTTCATAAGTGCCTGTTAGGGCCAGAGGCTTGTGTTCTGGCTTGGTCCAAGGCGAGACGGGTAATTACATTGCGCTGCAAGTCCTTCTGATAAGGTAAGGACCCTGTTAAGGTTTCGCAGTAATTCTGAAAATCCCACATCCTGAATCGCATCCCCTGCGCTGAGGCACCTCGAGGGGACGCGGCTCAGGCGAATGGAACCGACTGCGCCCGGCTGAGCGTGAGGTCTGCTCGCGCGAGAGGTTCTCCTCGCTTGATCGATCCGAGATGTACCTTCAACAGAGGCTCTTGAGTCAGGGACCCAGTATCTCAAGAAAAGCAGCCAGAATATGATGTGAGAGAATCTAACATAACATACTATGATATGATATATGAAAATACATTATAAAATAAAGTATGATTATAATATGTTATAGTATAACAGAATATAATACATACACACACACGCACAAATCGAATGCCCAGCGCAAGGACAATCAACAACAAACAACAGCTAGGTTCCTTCTCTTCTCAGCAAACTTTTTCTGCTGTCACACTTGTTGCAACTTCAAACAGAACGGGTTCGGGTTCGTGCACAACGAACATACATCCGAACCCTAAACATAGAAATCCTCTGCCAGAAACAAGACCAGAAGCAAGCCTAAAACACTAAACCCTGTCGACTCTAAGCCCTAAAAACCCCAAAAACCCTCAACAACCCTATGAGCCCTAAACCCTTAAACCCTAAACCCCTAAACCACCCTAAACACAAGGCCCTTAGCCACAAAGCGCATCCACACCCGTGACTCCGAAAGCAACACCCTGATCGAAACTTGCATCCTCAGCCCCGGGTTGTACGTTGAAGCTATAAATCGAAAAGGGGACCCCAAGGAGAATTACTACTATTATTAGTATTATTAATACTATTACTATTCTTACTACTACTATCATTAGTATTACTATGATTATTATTATTGTTATTATGATTATAAATATTATTAGCCTTCTATATCATGGGTCTTCGGGGCCTTTAAAAGAAGTAGGTCCCCGCTTCTCTTTGTAAGCAGCATTCTCAGACTCAGGGCTCAGGGGCGGAAGAGCCTCCTCGTTAGGAAACCCGTCGGCCCGTATATAAACCTTAAGCCCAAACCGTAAACCCGAAAGCCTAAACCCGAAACGCCTGACCCTAAGGCCTTACAGACACCTTCTGGGGTTCAGTGCCATAAAGATGACCCGTAAGGGGCCCTGGCACGAATTAAGCCAGAAAGCGGCGCACCCAAATAGCCCTGCATCTGCCTGGTCGTCATCGGCCCCGTTGCGGACATGTTGTGCACGCACCGTGGTTCAGCCAAGACGCTTTGGGCCACAGGTCTGCGAACAAGCTGGGTTTAGGATTCAGGGCTTGAGGCTTAGATGTGGTGCAGGCCTGAAGCTTTCAAAGAAAGCTGAAACCAAAAGGGTGACAAAGCTCTATAGAAAAAACTGACAAGTTTTGTTAGTAGTACTAGTACCATATATAGATATAATGATTTGTCGTTGCGCCGTCGTATTGTCGCCAAGAGCTGCGCATGCTCAGCTACTAAACCTGTCGTCCTGCAGTTGCTATGGTTAATATGGAACAAAGCGAAGGGTGCACATGAGTACAGAGGTTGGAAAACACTTAGTATCGCTACCGAAACTACCGCTCTGTACCACCAGGAAAACAGTCCTTACTTGGGATTCATGGGCAGTTATAAAGTGGGGTTATAAGTATGGCAAAAGTTACAACCTGATTCCGGGACTTATACCACACCAACTACCGCTGAACCTCCAAGCAAGTATTTCGCACACTGCAGCTGAAGTCCCGCAGCTGCTGTGGCATCGTGCTGGTCATTCGATTGGACCCCAAACCACCAGACACGTCAACGGATAGCTAGTACCGAAAACCGCAGGAATGCATTTAAAAATAACATTCTCATAGCGATGCTGAGATGCACTGTTCTCATCGGTACTAATCTGACGAACATTCCTGGTACCTCCGTAGCAAATAATGAGATCAATATGATGCTGATGAGGATGACGATGATGACGATGAGGAGGAGGGCAGGTACGACTGCTGACATGTTCTTGGTGTTGAGGCCGCGCTTATGCCAGGCCAACTATAAGACCTCTTTCAATGCCTGTCTCTTCTCCTAGCTGCTATTCATGTAGGAGAAGTTTCGAGTGCTTAGGTTTCCGAGCCACCCCCCTAAACGAGAGAGATCCTCCAGTCGGAACTGAAAGAAGAAGGTATAGGGTTTGAGGGTTTAGGCGTTGGGGTCTAGGGCTTGAGGTTTAGGAATTTAGGGTTCAGGGTTTAGGTTGTAAGGGGGTCTGCAACCCGAAACCTTTCAGTTGTTCTTTACCCCAACCCTGCAACCCCTTTACACTTACTATGCTCAGGGTGCATGTACTAGAGACAGGGCTGGGGGTTGAGAGCTTGCGGTGCTGAGAGGCTCAGACTGCTCAGAGTTCGGATTTGGGATTTGGGGAGGCTAAGCAGCAACTTCCGACGATCTTCCGCAACGAGGAGCAGTTCCACAAATTCCCAATCAAACCCAGTCGCTGCATCAACAATGTGCGCCACCCTAGGCCTCAGAGTATTCTCAAGATGTGTTCACAGGTCTTTGGGCTCACCAGTTCAGAAGTCCAAAGCTCAGAATGTGAGGTCTACAGAGGGTTAGAGTGGGGTTTAGGGCTTCGGGCGTATGATGTTAAGGGTCTAGGGTCGTGGCTTCACTATAGTAACTAATGGGTTTAGCATAGACTCTGTCTTCTGCGATATCGATGCCTCAGGGCTTCGGGGAATCGTAGGGTTGAATAATGGGTAAACCGTTTTTTGGAGGGCTCCCGGCCTGAGTTTCTGTACAACCAAGCTCGGGCCCGTACGTCCCGTTTCGGGACTCGGGAGCTAAGGGCTTGGCATGTAACGTCGTCTTGGACATGCCATCCCCTCACTACTGGGTACTACTTTGGCCAATCATTCCAAGCCAATGTCAATCAATCTGTATCGGTGGCGCCAGGATTGCCACATAGTGTGCATCGTCCATAGACACGGAGATCGTGCCATTGACGGGGTTAACCGAGATGTAGCCTTTGTGCTGGGAATTTCGCCCGAATGTTTATCCTTTCCACCAACCGCTATCCCCAGATTCGCAAGACCGAAATCTTGCCCGATCCACTTTGGCTGATGCTGGCCGAACCATGGCCACCCGCTAGAAGAAGAGGCAACTGCTTGCTAGAGCCTTTTGCCCTACAGTTCACTTCAACCCGCAATCATAATGTAGGGGCCTAAATAATTGCCAATACTATTTTGGGGGGTTCCTTATTATAATTATAGTATAATGGGCCCCAAAACCCTATTCTAATTATTCAGGCCCGTATATTTCCCCGACCACTGAGGGAATCCTAGCAACTCCATATTTGGGTCTATACGCGGACCCTGCACAACGCAGCTCAAAGCATTTCGGTTTAGGGTTTAGGGTTTAGGGAACGTGCACAATAAACCCACCCGAGCGGCTATGGGTGTTGCCAAAGTCAGTGAAGGTTCCAGGTAGAATGCTGCACATGAGAGAGCCATCAGGTCGAAAAGCAGCAATGCGCTCGTTGCCTCTGGGGGTATCCTATGGATGCCACAAGCGTCATATAGAGCCTTCAGAATTAGAATAGGGTTTTGGGGTACAATCTACTATAACTATAATGAGGAACCCCCAAAATAGTATTGGTAATAATTAAGGCCTGTATAATTGCAGGATGCAACATCCGGGCATTAAAGTGAGATGATTGCGAGATAAGAATTCAGCGATGGTGAGTGTTGTTGATGCCTTGGCGTGTCAAGACGACATGTACCCAAAAGCATGCGGATGCTCATTTTCACATTGCACACACCCCGAAGTCCATAAGCGTTAGGCTTGGTAGTGCGGGAAATTCCGGATAAATTCAATCTTCAATCTGCTTTCATCCCAGCCCAAGATGAAACGTCTCAAAACTGAACCTCAAGAAGCCCTTGCGGGCCTGTGTCCATCACTAAGATATTCCCGGACAGATCCACTGCAACATCGTTGGGGTGCCTCAACTCGCCCTGGCCTATCTTGGTACGGTTGCCCTCATGGTCCACTAGCCATACTACGTCGCCACCGCGATCCGTCACGAGAAGGCCACCATCGAAAGCGCAGAGGCCGGAAGGCCGGGTAAAACCATCCAAGTTGCCTTTTTTTAGGGTTAGGGGTTTAGGGGTTTAGGGGTTTAGGGTTAGGGTTTAGGGGTTTAGGGGTTTAGGGTTTAGGGGTTGCTTGTCCAGGTTTCCCAACGCAGGCATGATGGCACTCTTTTACACTTTTCGGGGTGTTGGTACTCCAAAACAGGTTACCGGTAACTGGCTCTGCTGCTGAGTTGCGCAGGTATTGCCCGGTTTGCAGCTCGAACACCTCGATTTGCTCGGTGCCATCTTCAGTGCCCCGGTGCGACACAAACAGCTCTTCTCCCTGGATGGCGAGACCTCATTAAAAGGACCATGATGTTTCGGAAAGTTTACTACCTTTAGCTATAGATGGTGTATTGACCGTTTGAATGCTGCTTTCGGTAGTAACAGTAGGGTTTATAGTGCTTAATTGCTCTTCAACTCGTCGGGCTATGTGGGAAACGACCTTCTGGAATCCAGCTGCGCGACCTGTGCTTTGGCTCCGGTTCTTGGCGGGAATCATCCTTATCAGCTCGAGCGTTCCTTGGCTGCTGACATCTTTCGCCCAGAAGTGGTTGCCGTTTTTGGTTCTTCGAGCATTATGTTCCCCATAAAGATTTGAAACCATCGCAAGAACTCATCACTATTTAAAGGGAGTTTTGCAGACGCTCTCCAAAAATTCCAAAATGCCTGATACAGAACCTATCTCATATAAAACCAAACAACAAAACCAAACAGTAAAGCTTGCCACAGGTGCCTGAGTCGACCACAGCAGCAGAGCCATCAAAGCAGGCCATTACTAATTCTCCATTTGGCGCCATAGCCTGAGCTTGCATGATTTATGACGGCAAGGGTTTCGGGGTAAAGGGTTTATCTGAAGTTTAGTATTTAGGGGCCGGCATGCCCAGTAGAGCAGTGCACGTCGTTCCCGGGCATACTGCACTGTCTACTCTGCCCTCTGCTGCTCGGAGCAATTTAGCCTCGATTGTGACCTTGAAAACTAAGCTGTGAGTCTGGTGGCCATCTGGCTTGGGTGCACCACTGGAGATGCCAAGACTGTCTCACGCAGCAGCTTCAACTCAAGGTCGTAAACCTGAATCGTGGCACAATGACGCCACCACCACCCATACCACCACGGCCACCACTTCCGGAAGCAGCACCAGAACTAGCACCAGCACCAACACCGCAAAGACAAAGATAACCACTGTCATTATCATCATCATCATCATCATTGTCGTCATCATCATCATCATCATCATCATCATCATTGTCGTCATCATCATCATCATCATCATCATCATCATCGTCATCCTCGCCACCACCACCACCGCCGCCACCAGCATCATCATCGTCGTTGCCATCGCAATCATCATACAAAAAACACCTGCGTCTCTAGCACGTTTATGAACTGCGCTCACGTCTGACATCCTCGTTCTTATCTGCATCGGCATCATCCGTGCTCCTCCTTCTCCTCTTCCTCCTCCTCCTTCTCCTCCTCACTCTCCTCCTTCTCCTTCTCCTCCTGTCAACACACTCATCATCGCCATCATCGTCATCATCATCATCACCACCACCATTTTCACCTTCATCCTGCTTAAGACCATCATCCTTACTGTAAGTTGCAGGGACAGCATAATCACCGTCCCCATGTTCGCCCAGCGTCCGTCTACAATAATTATTAGAAGTTTAGTGATTGTCTTCATCACTAGCCCGGCCTGAAGTTGTCCGGAATAGTGGCAGACGTACAAATGGCCCTCTGGCGTGGTCAGCACACCCTGGGGCCAATTGTGGGACTTCACCATGCACTGTACTTCGCGGATTTGACTGTAATCATGGGATCTCCGAGTGATAACCACCAAATGGGAATCCTGCAAGGGATTGAACGACTGAGTCTTCCATGCTCGTTTGAGCAGAGGCTTGTGACGGGAGGGGGGGGGAGCTAGGCTCATTGACTCGCAGTCCTCTGCCAAGTTGAGATCACCAATCGTTGCACCAGAGCGACTCAAGTTCAGGAGCACCCCCTCCACGATGAAATCCACCGCCAGCCCCTCTTTCACCAGGCCCCGCCCAGCCAGCAGGCTCTTAAACTCCTCCAGGCTGCAGCTTCTCTCAACCTGCACGTCCTGCTCCTCGCCACCCAGCTTGCTGACGCGCAAACGCAAGGAGTCCGAGCTCTCGCTCGGCGAAGCCATGGTCTCGTCGAGTGCTGTATGTGGCACAGCTGCCACCGGCTGCTGGCTGGAAGGATCAGGACACTAAGTCAATAAGCTTGCAGGCACTAGTGTTATACAGTAGCTGGATATCTCTAAATCGGTTACTTGCAAGTCCTTACACTCAACTTGCCTGAGCCTCCGACGAATACTTCACAGGTGTGGGTTCGAGCACGAAAGACTTGGGTCGCACATGGAAGTGCAAAGTAAACTTGTGGACTTGCGAGGACCTACCCATAGTCTCCATTGTAGTTCTCTTTTTTTGGGTCTAGAAATTTTAGATTTAACGTTTTCAGAATCCTGTATGTAAGATAACCCAAAGCGGAGGTACAACAGAGACTTTGGGTACTACCCTAAACCCCAAATCCCTTTCTCCTCACGCCGCAAACGCTCGCAGGGTTTGACTGAGCGCAGAGCCCAAGCCCTGCGACCGAAGAAGCCTCTGGGTGCACTCTGCGCCCCCAAACCCAGAAAAACCCTCATACCCCTATTTGAGGTTTAGGATTCAAGGTACCACACCCAAATTCAAAGAACCCTTATAGAAAACCTTGTCCTGCTTCTTCTTATTACTCTTACTATTATTTGCTTATAGGGCGCTAAACCTCCAACCTCAGCCCAGACGCTCTCCACAGCTGACTCAACCACTCAGGCTCCCGAGTGGGTCTCGGGATCTGGCACTCGGAGTGGTTTAGCAAGGGCTCGATAGTAACCCTAAGGCTCTAAGGACTCGTATTCTACGGCCTTTTGGGCCCAAAGACCAAACTACATAAGGCTTTTAGGAGGGGTGCTCTTGGGCCAACGGCTGGAGTGGCTTGGCGCTCTGGGCTGATGTAAGGATTTGGCGCTTGTGGGCTGAGGACTTGGGACTTCGTGTCTGGGATATGGGTACATGATCCTTGACAAGCCTTAGAATCCTGGCTTTTTTTACTGTAGCTTTTCAGACTATCTAGAAACAGAAGTTAACCTTGGAACCGGTAGCGCGCTTGCGATTGCTTCGAGGACAGTGGGTAGTTGCAAATATCTACGGGTACAAATACCTTGCCTGTGGGTTCTTAAGCATGCTCCTGTAGCGACCTGGCGGATTGCTTTACACATACCTACCTTTCAACATGGAACCCCAAACCCTAAACGCCTCACAAGAAAACATAAGCCTGAAGCCTTAGACAGAAGCCTGACAGAACTCTTATAGAAACTTAGGGAACCCATATACTGAACCCTAAACCCTAAACCCTCAATACTTATACCTATACCCCTGCGACCCATGGAGACCCCTTGCTGGGAGCCTTCGGAATACACATTATCCGAGCGAATGCAGGCGGTTGGTGAAGCGGGCAAAGCAAAAGGCATAACAGTGCAGAGAGGCGTCTAGGGGCTGTGGGGACTTGGGCTTTGACTAAAAAGTGCTGTACTCTCTTTTGTACCCAAAGAAGGGCTCCTAATCTAGAGAGCTCGAACTTGCTGATTCTCAAGAGGCTGAGTAAGTACGTTATCACTTATAGACGGAGCCAGAAATCATGCAGGAAACATGCATCATGTAACCCTTCACGAGAACTTGTTGCTGTTCTGTGTGTCTGCGGGTCTGTGCATTGCTTTTGCTTCTAGCGCAGCTAGAACCTAAGCATTCGGGGAAGCTGTGCGTCTTGCTACAGAGCTCGGGATGAAATGAAACCCCGTCTATCTGAGATCTGCCCACATTAAAAGAATTGCTACGGATCTGACTGTCGCTGCGGCGATCGTCCCCTGCTTCATGGCGTCGGACGCAGAAGACAGTGTTTAGGGTTTGGTACTTCATAGGCACTAGCAGCACTAGCAAAGCCCCAACGGGCGTGTGGCGCTTGAAGCAGTGTCGGACCGATCCTTCTGCAGCACAGCTCATTAACGCATCTACACGGGAGGCTTCGCATCAAGATCAAGGTCCCTTCTGAGATTTTTGTTGTCGTTGTCCAGGCTTTGCATGTTGGGACAATGCTTTAGGTTTAGGGTGCTTGGCCGTGGTGAAAACCTGGGATTGGAGTGCCTCTCTGCTCTTAAAGGACATCCTTCGCAAGACTTCATGGTCAGAGCTCTAACACGAAACAGCGTGACAATCAAGTCGCCAAAGACAGGCTATGTTTGGGGCCTGGTCTTGCTGGACCCATTTAGGGCCTTAACAGTGAGAACAGGGTTTTGGCTACGGTGTATGTTGTACTGTAAGTATATTAGGGAATCCGAAGGAATGCTAGTACTACTGTTGATGATATAAATCCTGCACTACTGTAAGGACCCTAAACCATGGGAATTATGGTAGATCCCTTATTATGGGTAATGCATGATTTATATCATCAACCGTAGTTGTACCAGCTTCTAATGCTAGAAGGGCGCCCCGGATCTGGGAAGCAGAAGCCCGCAATGACTCGCCCATAACAGCCAATCGCTGCAAGCTACCGTGGGAGTTGCTGAAAATGATGAACGGTTTCTTTTTGGGGGGGTCCATAGCTTCAAGATCCGTTTCTGTTTCTGGTCCATCTGAGGGTCCGTAGGTTCGGAAACTCCCACATGAGTCGTTTTAGAAACTCCGTATCTGGGCTCCAGAAGCACCAGGAATCGACACACGCGTTTTGGTTCTCCATACATCGGCCTTAGTGTCGTTCCACCTTCGAGCTGCGCATTCCTGCCTTGCCGTATGGATCTATGTCAAAGACTTCTTGTACACGCCGTCATATTGTCTTGCTTCAGGGCAGTTCAGCATACAACCTCTCACTTTTTCGGGTGCGAGAACTACTCGGTGGTAAGAAGCACTTCAACATGAGGCGAGTTTAGGTTTCGGCTTACGTGCAGGTTCTCGGGTTGAGGGGCATCACGCCAGCTCCCGCAAAGACTGTCCGGCGTGAGAATAGTTGGTGAGTTTGCTTGCAGGACTTTCGCGAAATCCGATCTTAACCTGTGTCGAACCCTTTGCGAAGGAGCCTAAACCCTCAACCAACCTAAACCCCCAAAACCCTACAGATCCCGAACCATCAGCCCACGTGAAGAGCCCTAAACCCTGCTGAACACGAGCTTCTGGAAGCGCTCAGATGACGATCTTTCGGATCTCTGGTGCAGTGACTCGTCGGCGCAGTGTCTCCTGGGGTTTAGGATTTTGTGATCAATGCGGCTGGGCGCTGCTGGCTTTGACATACTCCCATGCTTATTATGGTCTTGGCGACCTACTTCCATACCAGAAGAACATATGTAGGGAGCCTCTAAGACGAGTAGGGGCACAAAAAACGAAGTTGCTTCATAGGGGTCCGTAGGGGTGGCTTAGTTTTGGGGCCTAGTGTTGTGGCGCAAATACGACGGTGCTGGTGCTTGTTGAGGCTAGCCAAGTCCTCTGACCAAGAACACCCGGCGGGTACCACAAAATCTGCATCCGCCTGTGTATATGGTAAGGCCACTTTAGTACAAAGATTCCTACAAAAGACGTCTCCCCGTTTTGAGAAAAGCAATCCTGCCTCCAAGATTTCGAATCTCCTGCCCGGGAATGCTAAAACAGTCTCTCTGGGTAGAATGGGCGTTTGCGTACGTGGGCCTAGATTCCAGACAAGTAAAGACGAGCATTTTCGGTTATCCGACTTATTCGACGTTTGTTGTTGTAGTATGCTAGACGCTCAAACGGCCGGTACTCCTGTACCTGACTGGGTGCATACGAACTGGTGAGATGTCTATACTACCACAGACGAGCCGTTTGGTACGTTCACATCTCGCAGAAGAGCGAAAGATAGTGATCTCCAACTAAGAAAGACAAGTCAGGGCATTGTTGTGATTGTATGGCTTAGAGTTTAGAACTCAGGACTTTCTGTTACACCCCAAACTCGGCACCCATGGCTCTTTCAAACTCAAACACCAACAAGGTCGCTACATGGGCTGCAGTCCAAACTCGACACCCCTTATGTATAGGCCTTAATGCGATTTCACCTTACCCTTACGGCACAGGTTCCCACCTTTTCCTTTCGCTCAACTCTGACTTTTCAATTTTCAGGAGCCGGCTAGGGGAGTCCAGGCAACCCCTGTCGCCGCTGACCAACTTGAATCCTAAACACTAGACCGTGCCGGGACCGCGCGTCTAGACTGCAAGACAGGCAAGCTGAATCCTAAACGCCAAAGACCTAAACCGCAAGACACTAACCTGCAGGCTCTATCCCTATGTTGGAAGCATAGGGTACTTACTTGCCCCAGAGACTCCAAAACCTCTACATTCATTAAGCAATGTACTTCAATCTATAATAGGAACCCCCAGTTGCCAATAAGATTTAAGGTACACTCCAAAACCTCTGGACTCTAAACTAATTAAGGAATATAAATCAATCTACAAGATTTTTGAGGTATGTTCCTTAATTAAGGAATATACGTCAATCTATAATATTTAAGGGATGTTCCTTAATTCATAAACCCTAAACCCTAGACCCTATTAAGGGGTCTTTTGGAGTCCCTGGGTGCTTGCCAGGCCAAGCGTCCGCCAGCTCCTGGGAGGGACTAGTCCGCTTCAGAAGGCTTCTGGTGATCAGTTCAGGGCTTAAGGTTTAGGGTTTCGCGAGTTTCGGGTGTACGGATTAGGGTTTAGGGTTTAGGGATTAGGGTTTAGGGTTGCGGGTGCAAGGATTAGGGTTCAGGGTTTAGGGATTAGGGATCAGGGTTTAGGGTTTAGGGATTAGAGTTTAGGGATGAGGGGTCTTGGTTGAGAAATTCCAAAGTCTACGGTTGGGGAGTTGCGGCTTTTGGATTGGGATTGGCCCGACCAAAACATATTTAGAGTTGACGGCATGCTGAAGGCTCAAACGCCTCGATCCTCGTTCAATCTCGAACACCTAAGTCCCCAAAGTCGAATCTTGCACTAAACCCAAATGGCCCTAAACTCCAAAAAGTATCAGCACCTGCATCCCACCCTCTTTAATTTAACCCCCTTCGGTGCTCTAAGCGGCCCAGGCCGCTCTAGACCGCTGCTCCCTAAGTGGCCTTGCGTGGAA